CGGGGGGGGGGGGGGGGGGAATCAGATTCTGACTTCCTACATGGATATATTTTATTCTCATTTGTTAATCAATTTTTATCAATTTTAAACAAACTTGTTTAAGATCAATGAAAATGTTGGGCATTCGCTGTATAAATATCTAAGGATTATGCACATCTTTCCATTCACTTAAAAAAAAATTTGCCCATAACTCTATTAAATAAACCCTAGGCAAAATTGACTGATCATTTTAGAAAAAGTTAACTCTTCAGAAACTGCACAACTTCGATGGTGACACTTTGTATTACTAACAACCAAGGAGCTTCTTATGCACAATCAGATTCTCTCTCTTACCCATCACAGATGGTATTGCTGGATACATAGACATAAAGAACTCCCAGCTTAGACCACCAAAATTTCCCTGTACCTATTTATATCTACACAAGTTTTTCTGTTACTATGGGCAATATTTGTAGGATCCTCTATGATACTGTGAACTCAAAGATGTCTATATAACTCAATCGATGTACCCACATGAAAACAGTTTATCTATTAGATGAAACATTACCTTCCTTAAACGTGAACTTATAGTCAGCCTTATTGATGAAACAGTTTCAAATGGCATTAAACATGGTTAAGAAGTTTATGCAAAATACAACACATAGAGACACAGTAATGAGAAGCTACGATATCATACTAATTAAGAAAATAAAGTGTTGTCATTACCTGCCATGTGTCAGGAATAAAATCCTGAACTCTGGCATCTGGATCTTTTCTCTCATCTCGTATCAAGTAATAGCCCATGTACTGTAGTTGAAACCTAGCTGGTCCAATGTCAATTGAAGATTTATTCTTTTCCTTCTTTTTGTTGTCATCTCCTAACATCTGTTATTATTTTAATGTATTATTTCTTTAAAATCAACTTAAATTACAAAATTAAATAAACATTTAATAAATATCTATTGAACATGTTCTAAGCACAAGGCATTTTTAGCATGATTTTAAATAGTGTAATATTTAAGTAAAGAAGAGTTTTAGCACCTAAAATATCATTCTAGTGATAAATAAAACAGCAGATATTAACATTTTTAAAAAGTTCATCCTGGAGTTGGAAGCTAGAAAAGCCTATTAAAGACCATTCTTCAATCTCACTTCAGTTTTTACATTGTGTGCTAGAATTAACTCCAGGATTCATTCTTGTTACAAAGTGGCATCAGGTATTTAATATCTGCTTCCAGGAAGCATCTATATAAGTTTTTTAATTCTAACTTACTTCAAATTTTGGCAACTAGGTTATTAACAAATACTTTCAAATTTATTAGTTTTATAAACTAGAACCAGAATAAATATGTTCAGTTGATAACTATATATGAGATACTTTACGATAGCTATTAATTATTGTACTATATTAAAATTGAGTGAAAGTTAGAAGTAATGATAAATTCTAGTTATCTTACCAGGGATGGATCTAAAGAGTTTGCCAGATCATGAAAGCCTAAATATTTAATGCATTTAGCTATAAATTGATGATGTTCCTCTTCCAAAATTTCTGGGTATCCCTCCAGGAGTGAATGGATCCTTTTCATCATTTGAACAGCTATACTTAAGTCTTTTGAAATTTTGCCTTGTTAAAGAAACAATAAAATTGTTACAAAGAACGTCAGAAACAACTACTTGATCACTTGTGATAAGAATCAAGTCAATCAATTAGCCTAATTTGATTAAACCCTATTTTCCTTGACTTTAATGGAGGTTTTAGAGCATAAAAAAACTAAACCGCATGATTAAATAAAACTAATACTTTATCCACATTTTATTGTCATCTTAAGTAACTTAGAAATAGCTGAGAAAAGGAGAGAATGGAACTGAGGCCACCAGAGGTGGGAAAAGGGGAGGAAGAGGAGTAAAGGGGATAAATAAAATTACTATATTCATCATTACACTGTGTAATGATAAATATATTAATATATTATCACAATATGATAAGTATACTATATCCTGTTTTGAGCATCGCATATTTCACACAGGTATTGACATTCAGCTCTGTACCCCACAGATATGTACAATCAATTGTTTCAAGTAAAAAAGAAAAAGTTTTCCTACTGATGTCCTCATATCCTCAAGAAACAGTTAAATTATGTTTTTACATTTTATTTACTAAGTAATATTTTTATATCTTTTTTAAAAAAAGAAATAGCTGAGTTAAGTGTAGGAAAAAAGAAAAAAAAAAACAAGCTTTGTAATTCTTAGCAAAATAAACTCAGTTCTGAACAAGTTTCCAGAGGAAAATAATGCAATATAATCTGCACACTATTTGTGTTTGTCTTTTACTCTATGTTCATAGGAAAAAGCCCTGTGACTTTATATACCTGACCAAAACATCAGCAACATTTACTAAAGTCTACTCTTGATCATATACAGTATTTGTATTCACGAAAAAAATCAATGGAACCCTTCAATCACGGAAGGCTAAGATATAACCCCACTGCATCCCAATTATTCTATACACTCTCCAAGCCCTTTTATTACCTTATGTTCACATATAGCCCCTTTATCTCTACCCCACATCTAACCATTTCATACAAGGTCAGGGCTGTTGTAATGCCCTCTTCCTTCAACAAACACAGCTGAATAACTGCTTATGCAGACCCCCAGTGTATGCTTTTAAGGAGGTAAAAAAGAGATTTAAGACTTAAGACAGAGTTCTCACCTCCAGTAACTTTAAGTCTAATTGAAGAAACAAGGGATCAGTCTTGAAATAGATAAATAAGAAATCGAAGAGATTCATAATTCAAGGTCTAAAAGGAGTGATCAAGGCAGTAAGTGTATGTGAGTTGAAGTAGTTGGGAAGGGTTCACGAGGAGATGGGCCATAAACTGATGTTGGAGGACAGACAGAGTTTAGGCAGAGGGAGACAAGAAGAACTTCTGCAGCAGAAACTGGTTATGCCTCTTTAACATCCATTCTTATATCAATCCCTATATTGACACTGCCATGTGGCCAGTAAAAAGTCCACAGTTTCTAATCTCCCTATGGTTACATATGGCTTTGTCACTAACATTGGCCATCAAGATGTAAGCCAAAGTTGGTGGAATTTCTGGGAAGTCTTATTAAATGGAGGTAATACAACTGGAATGGTACATATTTGCCTTTTTGTCTTCTTCCTCCTTTATTCTGGGATATGGCCATCATGGAGGTCATGGCCACCCTCATCAATGCACCAATAATGGGGGAACATGATGGTAGAGGAGCCTAAGGCACCAGGGACCCTGAAGAGTTGCCACAGCCGCATTGACTTCCCATCTCTGGACTTCTTTTACAAGAGTAAGAAATAAACTTCTAGCTTTTAAAAGACGATGTTAATCCTTACCTGTTAATAACAGCCAATCACAACTCCTAACTGATACAACATCGTGGATAAGCAAAACTGCATAAGGCAAGGCTGAGAGATGAAATGACCATGGTATATGGGCCCACTGAGGGATTGGCTTGGTTGGTGGCAGAATAAATAGATTTGAGTGTGAATATGGAGAAGAGTCCTGTGGCCATGCATACAAAGGATCTGAGTAAGAGATACTCAATACAGGGTGGTCCACTGGAACTACTTGAGGAAGAAATGTCAGTTTGGAGAAGTAACGGCATGTGATAATTTCATCTAGCATCAAAATTATATATCTCTACTCAGTCTAATTTTTCACTGACATTTTCCCTTACCTATTTCTTCCAAATTGCAATCTCCAAGAAAATAGAGAATAAAAGCACAGATTTATGTAAGTCACATGAGGAAGTAATATCTACAAATAGTATCTCCACATCGTTCCTGCTACCTGTTTCACCAAAATTACTCTCTACTGCCCATTGGAGACATTGATAGTAGAACACGGAGCATTTAGAATGCTAGATAGGAGAACTCATTTCCACTCAGTTCCCTCCCTGCCAGCCATAGTTTCTAAATGGTTGTGTTTCATTACCTAAGGCCATAGCAGCTTCTAGGTATCTATTCTCTGTAGCTAAAGCTCTCAAAGAGTTCTGACATCCACTCTTTCCTTGCTCCTGTCAAGAACTATGAAAGATCTGAGATTTTACCCTATGGAAAACTAACAATTTAATTCACCACAGTTTCATGGATGCTGGCAAAAGATATGAGAGTCTTGGGTCAGAGACAAAAAGAATTTATTACTTATGATATAACTAGCAATATAAGCATCATGTGTATATCAGTTTCCTTTGTGCTCCATGGGAGAGATATAAAGCCCAAGTAGAAGATGCACACACAGTGGGATTGTGACACAGCTAAGGAACCCTGAACTTAGAAAACCCAAATCTTTTATAATGAATTTCAAGCAAATCTACCGCTTTTCCCTGGAGGGAGACATTATCTTCATTACACTAGACAATAAACAAACCTGGCCTTTGATCTAGAAGTGATGTCAGAGAGACAGGTCCTTGGATTTCCCAAGGGAAGAACCCCTTCAGGAACCCACAATAACATCAAGCTCACAAGGCAGAGTCACACTCACACTCAAAGTTTATTGCAAAGCAAAAGTACACACAGGAGGTGCACAGGCAAGCTCGTGAATGAGGACCACTCCACGAATTTTGAGGGAAGGGTTTATATGTTCTGGGATGGCAGTGTTTCTCTATCCTAACTAAGGGGAGGAATATTTTAAAAAACAGATGAGAAAAAGGGGTTTAGTTGCTTTTTTTTCTTGAGCAAGCTCTTTTCTGAGAGCCAAAGAACAAGGAAGTTTTTGCACTCTGTGGTTTTGTTTCCTTTTCAGAAAACCACAAGGCTCTGAAGAAGGGCGAGCTGATTGGTAGGGTGGTTAAGGTGTTGCATCCTGGTGTCAGCTTGAGCAGCCTCCCTGGGGCAAGTCCCTGTTCTATCCTGCTTCAGAAGGATACATAATCTTTGTCTTTGGAGACTGTTCACTGCACAAACATCCCTGAAAACACAGTATGGAACAAAAACCATCAGTGCTTCTGCTTGCAAGGCGTGAAAGACCCATGAAAAATCACCTCCCAGCAGCAACTTCAGATCTCCCTGGCACTAAGGGCTTCCCTTCTTTGATAGGCCCTGTTGCCAATGCTGGGCCTCCCTCTGCTTTACTGGTTTCATTAATTCTGCCCACATCTTTTGTAAGAGTCGTTTCTTTACATTCTCTTCCATTTCTTTTTGAATGTGCCATTTTTAACCTGTTGACACCCTGTCTCAACTTCTCTGCAATTCTACTTCCTCATCTGAAAAATAGGGATGATAATAACCATCTTAGAGAGTCATATTGGAAATAAAATCAGATGACACATGTAAAATTTTTAGCACAACCACGCACTTGATAAATATGTAAGCATCATTAATATTTTTATCGTAACTCTTTACCCATCTACTATAGAGTCACTCACCTCCACCCTGGCAATGTTCTTTCCATGCTTTAAAGCAGGCAATTAACCCTACCATTTCAACTTGAAATTTCACTGAATTACTTGTACATGACATCAAATATTCTTCCAATTTCTTTATTCCAGAATTTAAATTCTCTTTCATCTCCTCTTCAATAGAAAATGACAGAGCATTCCATTGTCGTTGTTCTTTCTGATCATCTTTGAGAATTGACCTTTTCTTTTTCTTTCTAATAATTTTTTGTGTTCTGTATCCTGCTCAATAAGAAAAGAACATATTGTGAAACAAACGTAAATATTCCTACATGACATTTCATTAGTGAGAGTGTATTTTCATGTGTTTACTGAGGTCTTTGACCATCACCTTATTCTTAGACTGGTACATTCTCAATGTCCTTTTCTTAAAATGAAGGTCTTGACCAATTGAACAGAATATATAACCCACAAATAAATCCATGTATCTACAGCCAACTGACTTTTGACAAAGCGCCAAGAGCACACACTGGGGAAAGGACAGTTCCTTCAGTAGATGGTGCTGGGAAAACTGGATATCCATATTCAGAAGAATAAAACTAGACACCTATCTTTGACCATTTACGAAAATCAACTCAAAATTGACAAAAGGCTTAAATGTGAGACCAAAAACTATGAAACTACTAGAAGAAAACATAAGGAAAACACTTCACGATATGGGTCTGAGCAAAGATTTCATGAATAAAACCTTAAAAACACAGACAAAGCAAAAATAAACAAATGGAATTATATCAAACTAAAAATCTTTTGTATAGCAAAGGAAACAATCAACAGAGTGAAGAGACAATCTGCAGAATGGGAGAAAATATTTTTAAACTGTACAGCTGACAAAGTGCTAATATCCAGAATATATAAGGAACTCAAGCAACCAAACAACAACAAAAGACAAATAATCCAATTAAAAAATGGGCAAATGATCTGAATAAACATTTCTCAAAAGAAGACATACAAATGGCCAACAAGTATATGAAAAAAATGTTCAGCATCACTAATCATCACAGAAATGCAAATTAAACCCACAATGAGATATCTTCTCACTTGGGTTAGAGCAGCTATTAGCAAAAAGACAAAAAAAAAAAAATAACAAACGGAGGGGAAGATGTGGAGAAAAGGGAACTCATACACTGTCAATGGGAATGTAAGTTAGTTCGGCCATTATGGAAAACAGTATGGAGGCTCCTTAAAATAGAACTACTATATGACCTAGCAATCCCACTACTGGGTATATATTCAAAGGAAAGGAAATCAGTATTTCAACAGAATACCTGCACTCCCATGTTAATTGTAGCATTACTCACAATACCAATTACTCACAATATGGAATCAACCTAAATGTCCATCAACAGAAGACTGGATAAGAAAATGCGGGATACATACACAATGCAATACTATGCAGCCTGTCATTCCCAGCAACACGGATAAGCTTGGAGGTCATTATGTTAAGTGAAATAAGCCAGGCACAGAAAGGTAAATAGTGCATGTTCTCACTTGTATGTGAAAGCTAAAAAAGCTGAACTCATAGAAGTAGAGGGTAGAACAGTGGTTACTAGAGGCTGGGACGAGTTGAGAGAAGGGGGATAGGGAGAGGTTGATCAACAGATGCAAATTACAGCTAGATAGTAGGAATAAGTTCTAGTGCTCTGTAGCACTGTAAACGGACTACCACTGACAACAATTAATTGTATAATTTCAAATAGCTAAAAGAGAGGATTTTGAATGTTCCCAACACAAAGAAATGACAAATGTTTGAGGTGATGGATATGCTAATTACCCTGATTTGATCGTTACACATTGTGTACATGTACCCAAATATCATACTGTATCCCATAAATATGTACAATTACGTGTCAGTTAAAAAATAAAAATAAATAAAGCCTTTGTGCAATGCAGACCTACTTAAAATTAAGTATAAAAGTAAACAGTCTCTCACTACTGAAAATTATATAGATTTCTGAGTGGTGCAGATTATGAATAAAGGAATGAATGTAATAAAACCAAGAGAAAGAATGGCCTTTGGACTGATCATAGGGAAGCTTCTTACAAATTTAGTTAGTCATTCATTTATTCATTCTCTACCCTCCAGTGTTTTGAGCCTCCCTGATCCCATCTACTCTTTGGAGATTCATCTTGAAAAACACCAATGGTCTTAAACTGTTCTAAGTAGACACTAGGTAATGAGGGAGGATAAAATTTCCTATTTAAAAAGCAGAAATCCCAATAGGAAATGGAGGAGCCAGACACTTACCGGGGTGGTAATTTTTCCCGCCTCCCCTCAAATTGGGTGTAACACTTAATTCCCATTTTTAATTCCCATTTTACTTGGATTGCAATGCCAAGCAGTTCCTGGGTCTCAATCTAACAGGACTGAACAGGTCTGGCCAGCACCTGGCCCTGTGATCAGCACTGCCCATGAAGGATCAGAGGTGCAGCCATAGGCACAAGGCTCAGCTGGGTGAGGTCCCTGCAGAATGGCTGTGGAAGAGAGTGGCTTCTAGGCACTATTTTCACTTTGATCTCTGTGTTTTGAGCCCAGCCTGGACTTCTGCCTGGGCCAGCTTCACCAGGCCACCCTCTGTGAGGAGGAGGTGAGGTCTGTGGGCTGAAGTGGAGCCTCTACAGCCAAAAGCATGTGCACTGGGAATTGTGGGAGACGGCTAGATGGACTTTGAAACAGTTCTAGGGGAGGGACCTCACAGCAGTGCTAAGAAAACTTTAGGGTAACTAGTGATTACTCTTCAATGTTATCTTGACCATCTGACTGATTTTGCCTTTCCTTGTAGTCCTTTCACCTTCTGCCCTGTTAATGAGTTGAGGGTCTGGCAAGGAAAGGGAAGACTGCAGGTCTCTGGTTAAGAATTTTCATAAATTACTGGGAAGAGGAAATACTCACATACTTCGGGCATTTTCCCCCAGGGCCTTTATGTTTCATTTCCTGAAACATTTCCATACCTACTCCAATTTGGTAGGCAGCTGTGTTAAATGCCTTCGGTCATTACTAATTTGTTTTGTGTTCTCTCAAACATTTAGCATCGCTGACCTCAGAAGGGGGTTTTACAAAAACAAATGTCTTTCTTTAATTCCTAACCATGAGGCCAGGAAAGGTGTACTGAAGCCTAATAAAATCCCCTCTGATAAAGAATGATCGATCGCAAGGTAGTGTTTTCCCAAGGAAAGTCATAAAATCGACCATTTGTTCAGTTATAAACATTACCAATTACATTACCTGATCCTCTTCCACATTAACGTTTTAAAATATTTTTATAAAATGTGTTCACAACTATGGCGCAGAGTAAAGAGAAGAAAGAGGAAGAAAGTAGGTACGAAGGTGTCCCATCCTTACAGGAAAAAGAAATGGTTTTACCTTTAATTCAAACAAAATTCCCAGACAGACTGATGGCATAAATGATCTATAAATGTATAGGTAGTTTTCAAAATTCAGGCAAACTAATAAAGCTTATGGGTGTGTTAGGCCTATTTTTACCACCTATATGTAAAAAGATTTTCATTGTAATTTTAAAATGTTTCTTTTAACTTAAATTCAACATTTCTAAATCCAAGCTCATAATCTTTTAATGCTTTAGGTACTTTACCAGATAAATCTATGAGGCTACTTGAAAAAGATCATGGAAAAATAGAGTTAAAAGATAATACAAGTATTACCATGAATTTTTTGAAGTATCTTCATATGTTTCAATATCATAAAGAGAATAAACTGCATTTTATGTAATTTTCTTAGAATTCTCATGGCAAGTAGGCAAAATAATAACTGATTTGTAAGCAAATATGAGAAAGAAAAACACGCCTTCAAAAATGTGAACGAATAGTTTAAAGAAAGCAAAGCAATGTAAAAAAGGAATAGGTAAAATCTATAGAATCCACCTGTAATATTTCACTGTTGGCACCACTGGAATCGACCTTCGGCTGTGTAGTTTGTGTTACAATCACTTTTGAAGAGATTGATTCTAATGAGTTTCCATAAAATTTCTCATAAGCCTGATTCATTTTTAGGACATTAATAACATGAGGGTCTCTAGATTTTTCTGAAACAGAAAGACTTAAAACGTAAAAATGTATTTAAAAACATTGCTATATATTGATAGAATGAACTCACTACTTCTCTACATCTCCCTTCCCACTCATTCTTTTTTTTTTGTTTATTTTAACTCCAGACCAATAACTTAGTCTTTGCTAATAAGGTCAGAGTACATAATATGGTGATAAAATAATCCCTTATCCTATTTGAGGAAGGGGATGGACAAGGAGCTCTGCTAATGTCCCCCTCCAAGAGTACCTGGACATTGCCTCTGTCATTTGGCAGGAGAAGAGAAGAGGCAGATAGGGGCAAATTCAACTAATGTATTTCTCTGGGATAGAGGTCTACAAACTAAGGCCCACATGGTCGAATGTGACCAGCACCTTCCCCCTCCCCCCATTTTGCTTTTGAGATAAGAATTCTTTTACATTTTTAAATGGCTATATTTGAAACGGTTACACAAGTTACATCATCGCCTCAATTTTTGTCTCTTGGCTTTCAAAGCCTAAAATATTTACTGAAATTTCTAGGAAGGCTATGGATGTATCAGCATATTTACTTCAAGGAATAGATTCCTAAAATCATAAACTATCTTAGAACAGAATCTGATATTTTTAATGACAATGCCATGTATGTATTCTTCTTAATAAGATGAAAAAAATCTCTGTTTGAATTAACAGATACATCTGCATGCATACATACACATGTACACCAGGCAATATTGTGGAATCTTTTCAGATAGCACACTTCCTAAAGTGCTTCTTCAATTACGTATGCACTAATCTCATTCAAAATATAGTTTATGTTTATAATATAATAATTTTTGTTCAGTAAAGAGCAGAAAAGGCAATTCATATAAGCTCTATTTTATCATGGTCACAGAGCTCACCATCAAAGTGACACTTGGTCCTGTCATAGTCATCAGTAAGGGGTCTATGAGCACACCAGTGCAAAAGTTCATCAGTTTCCTTTCGTTTAAACAGTGAAATAATATCTGGATCATCACTGTAAAAATAAAGAAAGAATTTTTTAAAATTTAAAAATTGTTTATATTTAGGCCCTTCAAATGAAGCTTTAGCACAGCACAAACTTCCGGCTATGATATTATAGATATCTTACAACCTCTTTTTCTATTTCTATGATGTGACGTGGGTTATGAAATCTCAGTGGTTTTTAAGAGACATAAGAACCCTGAATCTCTGCCATTCCTCTAACAGCCCCATCAACATCCATAATTACTTAGTATAAATAAATCTTACATAGCTGGAGTAATTCTATTATGAGTATCAACATCCATAATTACTTAGTATAAATAAATCTTACATAGCTGGAGTAATTCTATTATGAGTTCAAAATGATATAAATTTTTATCTAATAATGTTCAAATTATATAGACATATTAGATATTATATTCACTTAAACATAGTCCATTATATCAAACTCCCTATATTCAGATATGATATTTACATAGACATTTTGATGAGTCATTAATTCCACAAGTATTTTAGAGTTTAAAGCACTAAATTAGGCACTTTGTTAACTCTATACCTTTTTAGAATAGGCAAATCCTTCACCATGTCTCCAACAAACTTATCAATTACCGAAGATGTCATTGGAATAAAACCCAAACTAGGCATCTTTTTCAAGGAAATTTCTGAAAGCAAACATAAAATTAACACTGGAGGAAATATACAACTATCCTACAAAAACCTTGAAGATTATTTTTAAAATTTCAAAAACATAATATTTTGCAGAAATTTTGCTAATGTCTACCAAGTTAGCTCTTCCAAATGACATATTCCTCACAACAAACATTTTGGAGCAAAACAGAATATAAAGAAATGGTATACAGCTATTTGGATAAGCTAAGCTATTTTAGATAAATGGTAGCAGATGGATCAGCAGATAGACCAACATATGGGTTTTCCATTTCCAAATGCTTATTCTTTTTATTATTTCCTAAGTGACAGTAAATAAATAATAGCACTTGAAAAAAGAAGAGTCACTTAAAGTTCATCTACATATAGGCATCTATGAAAATAAACTGACAACAATGAAATCCTTTTACCCACCACTGAATATGCTTCAGGGCCTCCTTGAGTTTTTATTTTCTCAGTTATATAGGCCCACGTGCTCAACATGATAATGGACTAATAACGGATTTCTTAAATTGAGTTTTATTTATAATTATAGATGAAGAAAAATTATAATCTTTCTTCTCCTCATCCCTAAATTCTAAACAATATCCTCTATCAGTGCATCCAAAGTTCCCATGTGCGTTCCTCTTGCATCTCTGACATTCCTGCTCGTGGTCATTTCCTTCTCCCTGAATTACATTCTATATAAATACTTTTAACGAAGGTATGATGTTAGTTAACTCAGTCCTTGTATTTCTGGAAATATCTGTACTATTTCCTCATTCTTAAATTGTACTTTTTCTTGTTAGATTATCCCCTAACAAATGTTATTTTTTCTCATTGCTTAAAAAACATTACTCTCTTATCATCTTGCTTCTATTGCTGTTGAGAAGTCTGCGAACAGTTTAACTTTTGTTCCTTTGTAGGTAACTGTTTTCTCTAATTCTTTGAAGAACTCTGACATTGATATGCTGCAGTTGCACTATAATGTAGTTATAGTGCGTGTGGGTGTGCATGTGTGTGTGTGTGTGTGTCCTACGTGAGAGTCAATGTGCATCCTAAATCCCAGTATTTGTGTCTTTCATTAATGCAGAAAATTTTTCAGTCATTATCTCTTTAAATATTGCTTCCTCCACTGTTGTCTCTGTCCTCTGCTTCTGAAACTCTGACTGGACATGTGGCTGACCTAAGGTACCCAAAGCTTAGGAAGATTATAATGTTAGAGTGGGTTTCTCATAAGAGATCTGCTCACCCACCCCATGAAGGTACAGAGGACACACCTTTCACCACAACTGTGAGAAATAAAATTGTGAGGGGAACCCCAGCAACCTTGAATAGCTTGTGGTTACTCTACTCTTTTAAGTCAGAAATTGCCACGGGAACTGCTACCATCAAACAGGGGTCCCTAAACGCAATGGGCATAATTGGATCCTATGGTGGCAGGGCCAAGTGGCAGCACTTAGTCACTAAAGACAGGGTAGTCACAGCTACTATAATGAGCACTGAAGTCAGAGCAGTAATCTGAATAGTCCGATTCGCAGAGACCTATGGCACTGGCTAGTTGATCACGGTGTTCCTGGAAAAGAAATAGATGAACAGTCTACCAAACTCTAAATTCATCTGTATAAGAGGAAGAGTTCTAGAATAAGCAAACTGAAGTTTAATTTGAATCACCAAAACAAAGAGTCAAGGCCCCCTAATCAGTTCCCAAACTTTAGCCATTTTACAGACCCAGAACCCTTTGACTGAAGGGGAGGCTGAGTCCCCTGGAGGAAGGACCCGGCTACACTGCTAAAACTTGCACTTTTAATCTTTCTCCCAGTCTTCCCTAAAGGATCCTATAGCCATTTATCAGGGTAACTGTGTACTGGAGAAAGGAAAATAGTCTGACTTTTCAAGGCATTACTGAAGACTGGTTTTGAACTGATGCTAATTTCAAGAGACCCAAAATGTCACTGTGGCCCACTTGTCAGAGTATGGGTTTATGGCGGTGAGGTTACTGATGGAATTTTAGCCCAGATCAATCTCACATTGGATCTCTGAACCCATCATATGGTTATTTCACCAGTTTGAGAATGCATAATTGGAACAGATACACTCAGCAACTGGCAGAATTCCCCCATTGTTTCATTGACCTGTGGAGTAAGGGCTATTATGGAAGCCACTAGAATTTATGGTTATTTCACCAGTTTGAGAATGCATAATTGGAACAGATACACTCAGCAACTGGCAGAATTCCCCCATTGTTTCATTGACCTGTGGAGTAAGGGCTATTATGGAAGCCACTAGAATTGCCTATACTTAGGAAGATAGTAAACCAAAAGCAATACAAAAAAAAAAAAAAAAAAAAAGAAGAAGCAATAGTGAAAGGAGGGACTGCAGAGGCTAATGCCATCATTAACGACTGCAGAGAGACAGAGGTGATGATTTTCGACTCAACTGTCTAGACTATGCAGAAAACAGATGGATCTTAAAGACTGTAAATTTATTGTAAATTTAACCATATGGTGACTCCAATTGCAGCTGCTGTTCCAGATGCAGCTTCATTGTTTGAGCAAACTAACATACTTCCCGGTACCTGGTATGTAGTTATTGATCTGGCAAATGCTTTTTTCTCCATCCCTGTTAATAAAGATTATAAAAAGCAGCTTACTTTCAGCTGGCAAGGTCAGAAATACACCTTTACTGTCATACCTCAGGGGCATATCAACTCTTCAACCTTACATCATAATTTAGTCCTCAGAGAATTTTCTTGGGGGAATTTTTACCTTAACCTTCCACAAGGTACCTCACTGGTCCATCATTGATGATATTATGCTGCTTGTACCTAGTGAGTAAGGAGTAGAAAGCACTTGAAAGATTGATAAGACATTTGCATGTTGAGGGTGGAAAATAAATCCAATGAAAATTCAGGATCTGTCCACCCCAGTGAAATTGGTAGGGGTTCCCTGGTGTGAGGCATATTAAGATATCCTTTTTAAGGTGAAGGATAAAATGCCGCATGTGGCCCATTCTACAACCAAAACTGAGGTGCAATTCCTGGTGAGCTTCTTTGAATTTTGAAGGCAACGTATTCCTCACTTAGATGTGTTATTCTGAATGGGTCCATTTATCAAGTGACCAAAAAGCCAAGAACAGGAGACGGGTCTGCCACATGTCCAAGCTGCTGTGTAAGCTGCTCTACCACTTGGGCCATATGTTCAAGTTAAGAGCCAATAGCTCTTGAGGTGTCAGTGGAAGATAGAGATTCTGTTTGAAGCCTTTGGCAGGCCCCTACAGGGGAATCACAGCACAGAACCTTAGGATTTTGGAGCAAAGTCCTACCATCCTCTGTGGATAAGTATTCTCCTTTTGAGAAATAACTTTTCATTTGCTACTGGGCCTTAATAGAGACTAAATGCTTAACCGTGGGCCACCGAGTTACCAGCAACCTGAGTTTCCCATCATGAATTGGCCAACCAAACAAGCCACGAAGCTGATCACGTACAGAAGCATTCCAATACCAAATGGAAGAGGTATATACAAGATTAGGCTAGAACAGGCCCTGAAGGTAAAAGTGAGTAACAGGAGGAAGTGATTGAACATGCCTGTGGCCCCTACTCTTGCCACATTACTTTCTTTCTCCCAATCTGCACCAATGGCCTCATGGGATGTCCCCTACAATCAGGTGACTGAGGAAGAGAAAACTCAACACTTGGTTTAGAGACGGTTCTACACTATATGCAGGTAGCACCTTAAAGTAAACAGCTATAGCACTACAGCCCCTTTCTGGGACATTCCTGAAGAACAGTGGTAAAGGGAAATCCTCCCAGTGGGTAGAACTTTGAGCAGGGCACCTGGTTGTTCATTTTGCTTGGGAATGTCAGAGACAAATCTGTACTGATTCATGGGCTATGGCTGATGGTATGGCTGGATGGCCAGGGATGTGGAAGGAATATGATTTGAAAATGGAAGGTATGTGGAACAGGTATGTGAATAGGCCTCTCCGAATGGGCAAAAAAACATGAAAATATTTGTGGTCCAAATGCCCACCAAAGGATGACCTCAGCAGAGGAGGATTTTTAAAATCAAGTGAATAGGATGACCCATTCTGTGAATCCTAGTCAGCCTCCTTCCTGAGACACTCTTGTCATTGCCCAATGGACTCATTAACAAAGTAGACATGGTGGCAGAGGGGGAAGTCACGTATAGCCTCAGTAACATGGACTTCCACTAACCAAGGCCATTTGGCTATAGCTTCTCCTGGATGCCTTATCTGTCAGTAGGAGAGACCAACACTGATTGCTGATATGGCACCATGCCTCCAGTGATCAGCTAGAAAGGGAAGTTCTCTGTTCTTACTGGAATAGACACTCTGGATATAGATTCACCTTCCCTGCATGCAGTGCTTCTGCCAAAACTAGCAACCTTTGACTTACAGCAGCCTTATCTACAGTCCCAATATTTGACACAACATCATTTCTGATTAAGGAAATTACTTTACAGCAAATGAAGTGCAGCAAGGGACCCATGCCCATGGAGTGCACTGGTCTTATCATGTCCCCCATCAACGTGAAGCAGCTGGCTCAACAGAATGGCTGAACAGCTTTTGGAAGACTCAGTTACAGTGCCAGACAGGTAGAAACACCTTGCAGAGTTGGGGCAAGGTTCTCCAGAAGGCTGTATGTGCTCTAAATTAGTGTCCAATGTATGGTGTTATTTCTCCCATACATAGAATTCACAAATTCAGGATGTAGGGGTAAAAATGAAATGTCTCTATAAACTATTACTCCTAGTGATCCACTAGCAAAATGTTTCCTTTCTGTTTCAGCAGCCCTATGCTTTGTTTGTGCAGAGGTCTCAGTTCCAAAGGAAGGAATGTTTCCACCAGAAGACACAATGACTCCATTGAACTTGAAGTTAGGATTGCCATTCTGCTATTTTGGGCTCCTCGTGATTCTGAATCAACAGGCAAACAAGGGATTTACCGTGCTGGCAGATTGATCCTGACTACCAAGGGGAAATTGGACTGCTATTACACAATGAAGGTAAGAAAAAGTATGTCTGGAATATATGAAATCCCTTAAGAATCCCATAATATATCCCTTAGTACTACCAGGCCATGTGAATAAAGTCAATGGAAAACTACCACAACCCAATTCAGACAGGAGTCTAATGGTCCAGACCCTTCAGGGACAAAGATTTGGGTTACCCCATATTGTGGGTTAAATTGTGTTACCCAAAGATACATATTCAAGTCCTAGTACCTGTGAATGAGACCTTAATTTGAAATAGGATTTTAGCAGATGTAACCAAGTTAAGAAGAGGTCATTAAGGATTAGGGTAGGCCCTAATCTAACGACTATTGTCCTCATAAGAAGAGGGAAATTTGGACACATACACAAAAGAAACACACAGAGGGAAGAACACCATTTGAAGATGGAGGCAGAGAGGGGGGTGTTGCATCTGTAAACCAAGGATTGCAATTAATCACCAGAAGTTAAGAGAGAAGCATGAGATGATTTTCATTTCAGAGCCTCCAGAAGAGACCAACTCTGCAGACACTTTGATTTCAGGCTTTAGCCTCCAGAACTGTGAGAGAATAAAGTTCTGTTGTTTTTTTTTTTTTTTTTACTTTACATTCTGTATCGCATTTATTTATTTATTTTTTTATTATTTTTATTTTGTGAATATACAATGTAATTGATTTTTTTTTTCCTTTTTTGTCTTTTTTCGTGTCTGGCAACGGATCGCAACCCTCAGTGTCGCGCCCGTACCGGACCGGGACCGGCAACGGGATCGGCAACGGGATCGCAACCCTCGGTGTTGCTCCCACACCTCGCTCAGCCAGTGAGCGGGAACCGGTCTGTATGTGGGATCCGAACCCTCGGCAGGAGCGCCACCGCGCTCCCAAGCGGCACACTGTAGCAGTGCGCCACCGGGCCAGCCCCCAAGAATTGTTTATCCTCTTCTGAGGAAAGGGTTAGCATGCTTTTAGTTGTATGCTGGATAGCTGTATCATGTTAGACAGAAGTGTGATTTTGGTATTGTTTTTATTTGGAGATTAAGAATGGTTTAAGAAAACATAATGGGTGCTAAATTGACAAGGAGTGGACTGTGATGATCAGTTTTATGTGCCAGCTTCATTAGAATATAGTCGCCCAGTTATCAATTAAACACTGATCTAGATGTTGTCGTGAATGTATTATACAGATATGCTTAAAGCCCATAATATATTTAAAGTAAGGAATATTATCCTAGATAATCTGGGTGGTCCTGATCCAGTCATTTCAAAGTCCTTAAGAGCAGAGCTGAGGTTCCCCTGAAGTAGAACAAATTCTGTGTGTGGACTGCAGCTTTAGCTAATACCAGAAGTTCCAGCCTGCCCTTCCATAGCCCTGCCCTCCATACGTCTATGTAAAATTTCACCAGGCTTTCTTCTGCAGATTGGTTTACCTTAAGCACATAATTGTGCATATTTTATACCTCAGTTAAGAAGTAAACAAAAAAACATAGTGAAAGAAAATTATTTATACTCATAAAACCAAGTTAGAAGGGCTTCTAAAAATTTTGCTGAATAAACATGCTTTTACTCCAATTTAATTCAGTTAATTATTACCTCGGATTGTTGATTGCGTCCTTCTAAGAAAATGTCTTCTTGTTGTTCTCAGAGGAAAACACTTTCCTACATTAAATTCTTTAACCAGCTGTGACACAAAATTCCACAGGTGTTCATAATCCCTCCTAATGTAATCTCCCAAATTCAAATGTACATCTGCATAACAATTAAAAATAATAAAGTCTCAAAAGTCATATATATGTACACACACACACACACACACACACACACACAAGCACCTTTTTTTGACTAAATTCACAGAGCTCTGGAAAGATTATCAAATACTGAAACTTAGAGTGATTTACAATACACCTGCATGAAAATTAGCAACAGAACTATGACAATAGTCTCTTAAAATCATTTGGTCTTTAAATTTAATAGAGGTTTAATAAAGAAATGTTATATTTATAATCCTATCCCTTACTAAATGATGTTAATGATGAATACATAATTATTTCCTAAAGTAACGAAGAGCAATATGCCACATATAATCTTGCAACTTTAAAAACTAAGTAATTAAAAAGCATATCTTTAAGAGTTTACAAAAGATAGAGAGAGTGAGAACATTTTAAAAACTAGTAAAATAAAATAAATAAATAAAAATAAATTAAAAAAACTAGTAAAATAGGGCTGGCTGGTTAGCTCAGTTGGTCAGAGGATGGGCTTGTATCACCAAGGTCAGTGGTTCAGACCCCCGTATCAGCCAGCCACCAAAAACTAGTAAAATATGCTACATTTTATGCTATTGGTTTATTCCAATGCCTGCCACCTAAGGGAATTAAATCCCAGAGGTCAAAAATACTTCAGAATGTTCATTCAGGAAAAAGGTGTTTAAATATGTTATATTAAACTTTGACCACATAAGCCACTCTAGATAATTATTCTAAGAAAATATTCAAAGGAAGACAAATTATATGTACAAAGATGTTTAGTGCAGTTTTATTTATTTTTAGGAAAAAGTAATGCATCCCTAAATGTCCAAAACTAGTGAAAAGATTGTATTAGTTACAGAAAGTATTATAAAAAGTCATGTATCTATTTAAATGAAAAACATAACTATTAACATTATATTATAACATTGAAATCATTTTTTAATACTACCAAATGAAGAAAAGGTAAAATATGTAATAAGCATGCACAAGTGTGTAAGTATGTCATACACACACAAACAAAATTTTCAAGAAACAAAAATGTTGCTGTGGTATATGTTGGGAAATTTGAAAGGGTTTTATATAATTTATTTATTCTGATTTAACATATAGTGTCAATGCATATTAAGGTACTACCTTGAGTATTTTCAAGTTCATAGTAAAAGGCAATATTCTTCAACAAATTCTCATCATATAAGTCAGAAATATGATTTAAATTCAGATTCCACCATCCAAAAAAGTTTAAATTTCTTAAAATGAAATATTCACACCACTTTTTCTGAAAATTGAAAATAAAACATTATTAGCAAGGAGTCATAGAATGATTTCTATAGTCTTTGTAAGGGCCCTGTAAGGTATGTCATCAGGGACGCTTCTGGGTAGAATGATAAAGCTGTAACAACTACAAAGTTTAGAGATGACCTAAAACCAACCACAAGAAAAAAGTTGCCTCCGCTATTTTAATTTTGTAACCATCCACTCACTGGATTATCTACATTCCAGTGCAGATTTTGTACCCCACTACTCTGCCAAAACAGCTCTTAATGTAATAATCAGCCTTGTCTCCATGCCATTAAATTAAAATCACTGAATTTTCTGTTAACATCCACATACTATCTGCAGGATTTCACACTGTAAACCACTCCCTCCTTTTTGAAATCTGATTCATCTGATCTCCAAGGTAACATATTCTCCTAGTTTTTCTACCATTTATCTTAGCAGCTTCTTTTCAGTGTCTTCTTCTAATTCTTACACTTCCATCTGACCACTAAATTCTGGACTATCTCAAGACTCTGAACCAAGACCTCCTCTCATTTTACTCTAGTCTTTCCCTAGAAAAATGCATAACTGGCATGGTGTCCAGCATCATCTGTGGGCTCAGTCCCAAATCTTTATTTCCATCCCAGAGCACTCTTAACTGCCTGCTAGATATCTTCTTTTGGAAATCTCATTGCCACCACTTCAAACTCACTATTTCCCAAATTCATTATTTTCCTCCCTAAAATTGTCTTCCTCTAATGGCAGCATCCATACAGTAAGTCAAACCAGAAACCTGGAAGTCATCTTTGATTTTTCCCTCTCCCTTATGCTTCATACCCAATTATGTAACCTCATCAGTTCCACAGCCTAAAAAACTCTTGCATCTTCCACTTGTATTTATTCCTGATGCTACCAACTTCACCAGTGCTACCATCACCACTATGTAATCACCTGGATGGTTTCTTCACCTCTACCTCTGAATGTCTATAATGTACTCTATGCACTTCAGCCCAAAGAACTTCTAATCAAAAGGTCAATTACAGATTGGAACCCTTCAATAATTTCTCATTATGCTTATGACTTTCTAAATCCCTAATAGAGCCAGAGAGTACTACACGATTTTTCTTCCACCCACCTCTGCAGCTTCATCATCTTTTCTCTCTGGTCACACTGAGCATATCTCAGATCCTTGGGTGGTTCACAGGTGCTATATCCTGTCTTGAAAACCTTTTGTTCCACACTTCCCCTAGCTGACTATTACTCATCCTTCAGATCTTGAGTCTCTTCACTCCTACAGAGAAGCCAACTTTTCAAACTAGGTTGTGTCTTTTTTGATCATTAGTTTCCAAAGCATCCTTTAGTTTCCCTGCATATTCTTTAGCATGTTTGTAATCATTTTATTGGTTATTGCAGCTACTCAAACTATTCAAACTGAAGCTCCATGGAAGGAGTAAAATGGGGAGATGTGTTTGTTCTTTTTTCTACTCCTTCCCAGGGACTTATCGCACTGAATAAACATGTGTGGGCTGGCTGCCTGACAGATTAGTTATGAAATGCCTCTGATGATAATTTGACAGTACATATTAAGATCCTTAAATTTTCTGTACGTTTTTGGCCAATAATTCCATTTCCAAATTCATGAAATCTATTTGAAATATTTAATTCCAAATTAAAAGGAAAACCTTAAACACAAAAACTCTCAAGATCATTAGCATTTATAATACAAAAGCTAAAAGTGATCCTAATTATTTAATTAGGATCATTTAACCATCCCATTATAGGGGATGGTTAAGTAAACTAGGATATAATCACTCACAATATTTAATAACCATAAAAATTATGTTAACAAAGAAATGGAAATCCCTTTAAAACAAAATAATTTGTAGTATATATAATATGATTGAGATGATATAAGAAGCAATCACAATAAAACTCATGCCCTAAAATAAAAGAATGAAAAAAATTAAACCAAAATATTAACAATCAACAGCATTGATTTGGGGGGTGAGCTAGGAGTACATATCTATTTTTCTTCTATTTTCATCTTCTCTTTAACATACTTTTATGATAAGCAGAAAAAATAAATTTATAAATCGGTTTCCTGAGTTTACACTGTATACTGTCAGCCAATTTTCTGTGGTTGATTACACAAAAACATGATCTCATCAGAGGGAAGAAGGAAAAAGAAGAAGGCTCTCATACTTTCATAAAAGAGATATATTGTGGTGGTGTTCTCTACTATACCACCAAAACCAGAACTTGTTGAAAAATATGACTGATATGATTTATTAGTTAATTAGATCTGGCATTATTCCAATATAAATCTATTTTAAAACATGATCATGGTTTTTATCTCTCATGTTGAAACAAAAAATAAACTGACAGAAAGTATGTTTACCATTTTTAAGAAAGTATCGATGTCCCCAATCCAAGAGCGAGTGATGATTCGTGAATAAGCTCTCTGAGAAAGAGGTAGGTGGAGCTGAAAAGCCATACAGAGGCATTGCAGTCTACAGAAATCTTCCACTTCCTGCAAGGCTAAGCAATTACTGTCCACCTGCGTAAAACAGAGAAAATAGGCCAGACAACAGCAGACTATGAAATAGCATACAAATAGGCAATGCCACAAATAGGCAAAGTCACATTTCATCACATTCTTCACTTTACATTTTTGAGATAGTCCCATTTTTTATATACCAACTTAACTGCATTTATGCAGAAGGGGGTAAAAGGGAGGGAAAACTCCAAGTTTAGCAGTTCACATATGCATTTCCTAGGATTTTCAGTTAAGCCAAACATTAAATGAATCAATAGTAGAAGTCACTGATCCAGATACCTGAGTGCGGCTGGAGCCCCACATAAAATACTCTACCATTTCAGAAAACTGAGAATAATATCCACAAACCCATGGCATGTTCAGGGTGAGAAATTCAGGATGGCAACCTATCTGAAAAACATGTTGGATGAGAAGTGGGGGATGGAAATGGCTGTGTTTTATCTATAGCAGAGATTTCAGGACTATTTTCAAATATATGAAGGGCTGTCACATGTAAGGTAAATAAAATTTAACCTGGATATCTTCATAGGATGAAAGTGGAGATAATAAAAATTACAGAGAGATTGACTTGGGTTCAATAATGTTTACTTTAAAAAATTAGAACCATTAAAAACATTGTGCCTGTCATATGAAAATGTTTCTCCAAAAACATTTAGGCAAATATTGGAGGAGAATCAAATGAGACAGTGGGCCCTATCCATCTCTGAAATTGTATAAGAAAGAGTCAAATTAATCAAATGTGAACTTCTGGAAGAAACTGAATTTTATACCCAGAACCCTATGTTACATGCTGTTCACACTTCCACTGGCAGCACGTCTTTGGCATATCATGAAAAGTGAATACATTAAGGTAACCATCATATTTGAGTATGCTCTTAAAAATCAGGGAATTAGGCTGAATATTTTACACTCCTTAGAATGTAAAGCTTTCAAGTTATGTATTTTCAAGAGTCAAGCTTCACATTTCTGAAAAATTAAAATACCCAAAGCTGCAATTTTACAGGAATCTAAATAGCTAAGATCTGCTGTATTATATACTAATTTAAAGTATTGAAATGCTATGTCTCCTAGATTAAAAAGACAATTGTACAATAATTCAGCATCTGGGATCTAAAAATGGAAGTGGCTCCAAATCTAGATTTGCTTTTCATTAATGTGTGACTCCAGTCAAAACACTGTAGGAGTCAGTTTTCCTATGAGCAAAAATCAGGATAGTAACAGTACATATTCTCACAGGGTTTTTGTAAAACCTAAATGAGATCAGACACGTAAAATATCTAGAATATGCCTAACACATAGTAAGCCCTAAGTATTATCTATTACTAGCTATTCTTCATAATACGCAAGCTATGTAGACTGAAAGCAATTAGTTAGCACCTGTTAGACATTCAATAAATATTAGCTGATTGAATGAATAAATATGTTCAATCATATTCTAAGTCAAGATAAAATCAGAGAGGGGAAATTTAAACCAAGGAAAGAATCAAATTAAGAAGAAGCACAAAAAGTTCATTGCTGTTCTCCGCTCTCCATGGTACTCCCAAACAGTTGACAGCATTTTTTTTTTCTTTTTGCTTGAGTAACTAAAAACTAGAAGGATGGTGTTGCTGTTTATTGGGATAGGGAAGAGTGAGGAAGAAGCAGGTTTGAGGAGTTTGGTTCCAGACATCTTAAATTTGAGATGTCTACTACACGTCCAAGTGGAAATGTTGAGTAGGCAGATATACAAGCCCGGAGTTCCTCTAGTAATTTCACAGAGACATTAAAATTGCCTTCCAAGATGTACATAATCAATTTGGGTAAATACTATGTCTACTTCTTCTCTCCCCTCAAACATATTTATTTTTGGCATAACATATTACCAAGCACAAAGTAAATACTTAGTGAAAACACGCTTACAGATTTATAAAATTAACAATCCCCTCCCACAGGAACACTAATTCCTTGAGCCTTGTGCAGTCACATTTTCTATTCTTTTCTTTTTTTCTTTTGTTTTCCTTTGGTTTTTTTTTTTTTTCCTTTTTGTCTCTCTTTTTTTTTTTTTGTCTTTTTTTGTGTCCGGCAACGGATCGCAACCCTCAGTGTAGCGCCCGTACCAGACCAGGACCGGCAACAGGATCGCAACCCTCAGCGCTGCACCCGCACCTCGCTCAGCCAGTGAGCGGGAACCGGTCTGTATGTGGGATCTGAACCCTTGGCGGGAGCGCCGCCACGCTCCCAAGTGGTGCACTGTAGCAGTGCGCCACCGGGCCAGCCCTTACTGACTGGTAATGGGATCGCAACCCTCGGTGTCACGCCTGTACCGGGGACCAGCAACGGAATCGCAACCCTCGGTGTTGCGCCCGCACCGCGCTCAGCCAGTGAGCGGAACTGGTCTCCACATGGGATCCGAACCCTCGGCGGGAGGGCTGCCGTGCTCCCAAGCAGCGCACTCTCCAGTGCGCCACCTGGCCGGCCCATTGTTTTCCTTCGTTTTAAGAACAGTTTTTCAGCCTGGAACCCACCAATATCCAGACTGCATCCAAGATGTGTGTGTGTGTGCATATATGCAAATAGAGATGCATACACTAGAGAGGAAAATCCAAGTTCCTCAATAGATTCTTAAAGGGCCAAAAACAATTTAAAAATTCAGGATCTCTCTAGCCTGGGTGACACTGATAAACAAAACAGAAATGTCCTTTTTAAAAAGCAGTTCAATAGAGTGGAATCATCACAAGCTTTGAAGCCAACCATCCTAGTAAAACTCCAGGCTCCCTTTTACAATGTTATTTTAGGTAGATTATTGACGTCCCAGTCTCAAGGTTCTGAATAGGCAAAAGAGGGTAATAATATCTACAGTGATAAGTTGTTGCAAGATTACAGGGCATCAGGTACCTAAGGAGTCTAAAACACAGGTACATAATGGGATCCGCCCCAAAATTTGTTTCTTTTAACAAGGAACTTTCTCTGTTGATTAGAAGAATTAGGCTAAGTACTAAGTGAAATACCAGGTAAAACTTTCTATACATCGCATTTTAAGAAAAACATTAAATATTTAACGTAATTTTTTTATCAACATAGATTCTAATTTTTTTCCTTTTTTTGGTATTTAATATACATAAATTAGTGGGGAGAGAGGATAGATTCCCAATGAAAAAAAATGGTAGTCAGAAGCCAAGAGTATTTCAGCTGTGAAGAGCCCTGGTACCACCCAATGCAGTTACACCAGTCACACCTGATGAATGATAGTTTCCTGCCCAGATCCTGTATTCTTTTTACTTCCTAAGAAGTGATGGTACATTCTCAAGGATAATGAACAAGAAGTAACACAGAGAACACGCCGGATGTCTGATCCTTCCGGCCATAAGCTCTGAAGCAGAGATGTAGTCTGATGTGCCTGTCAAAAAGAAAACTTTTCAAATGTCAAATTATTTATAAAGATTTTTTAATTCAGAAATGATGTCACTAGAAGAAAACATATAGGAAAAGCTTGTAGATCTGACTACATAGAACTCTAAATGTTTATGTTTAAAAATTTATAATCATTTTAATGACAGAAAATTTAAAATTAATTACAATCAATATGCCAGAGCATATGAAAACCTAAAAATCTAAATCACTAAATAAGAAAATATCTAAGATTTTAAAGCATGAACAAATAATTGACAGAGAAAGAAATACAAATTATTAATAAAAATATATAAATAGTTCAATCTAACAAGCAAAGAGAAACATGTTAAAACAGTATAGAAAAAATGTTATAAATATCAAAATATCAAATTATGTTTAATAACATCACACAACATTGAAAATTATGTGATGAGTTATTTCTCTTACACACTGAAGATTAAAGTATAGCTAAGTACAGAATTCCTTCAAAGCTATTTGACAACGTCTACAAGATCATTAAATGTATTGATGCCATATGATACAGTGTTGAATTTCTGGGAATTTAGCATACAAAAGGAAGAATGCAATATGCATACAAAAGATTGATACATCAAAATGTTCACCACAACGTTATTTGTAAGAGTCAAATTTTAACATCCAGCATTAGGAAAATGTAACACATTAAATATTAAATTTATGAAAAATTCTTAATGACATAGAACATATTTCTGTAATGACTTCCAGGAAATATACATTAAAAAGTGTACATGATATGTCCTCAACTATGTAAAAATATATATTAAAGTGCTGGAGAAACTTCAAGCAATGGAATTACGGATATTCTTAGTACTTTTCTGTATTTTCTAAAATTTTTTATGCAATTACCTTTTCCATTTCAGAATCCCCCCCAAAAAAAGAAAAGAAAGGAATGCTTAATAATCCATCGTAATAAACAGTATCATAAAGCATTTTTTGAGGAGGTATTGAGGAAATTAGACCTAAGATATGATTAATTTCTCATTTTGATTTTTTATAAGGCAAATGATATCTTAGGGACATCCTCAATTAGAGTGATAAAGATACAGATTACTGTTGTATCAACTACCACAAATTTCTAGTTCGCCAGAGTCTGTCTTATGTGACTCCCAGAAATGAACATTAAATTTCAAATGCCATATGATCAATTCAAGGTATACTAAGAGCATGACATTCTGACATTCAGATAGTATACATGTATTAAGGAAGTATAAGGATTTAGTATAAAGGATTGGACTAATCAAATATTTTCTCAGTTATCAAATTCTATCAAATTTCTACTTAAAGAAATAAAGTTTCAGTACCTCTTCCATCATATCTTTCCACAGCAAATGTCCAAAATGAAATGCTAATGCTAAAATCCTGCTTTCTTCCAAGTGTTGTACAAGGCTTATATATGCACTCTGAATCACCATTTTATTCTGTAAAAGTCAGAAAACTATATAAATACCTTAAAGTATCTTTTTCAGCTATAAACAAATGAAATATTTAAATTCTACACGTGTAACCATGTACACTAGATAAAATCACCCTCATCTGTCTTTAGGATAATTTTTCTTAAGCTACAATAAACATGCATACTCGTATTTCCTCATTGCCAAATTAATTTTTATTTATAAATATAATAAATTGTTTTGCTGTTATGAAGTTTTCAAAAGTATAGAAAATTAGAGAAAATATGTCCCCTGTCCATGTACCCATAACCTGGACTGAACAATTATCAACATATAATACAATTGTAATGTTCATTCAGAGACTGATTTAACAGTTCAAAATGTGATGGATAAAATAACTTATTTTTAGAGAAGTGGCTATATATCAATGAATTAAGAAATAATTTTATGGAAAATAAAATCCTGTTTTTGGGGGTTTTTTTAAAGGTTATTCTTAAGGGCCAGCCCCAAGGCTCACTCAGGAGAGTGCAGTGCTGTTAGCATCGAGGCCGCGGGTTCGGATCCTATATAGGGATGACCAGTGTACTCACTGGCTGAGCGTGGTGCAGACAACACCGTGCTGAGGGTTGCAATCCCCTTACTGGTCAGGGGGAAAAAAAAAAAAAAGGTTATTCTTAAGGAGTGCCTAGACAGGGTACTAGCTCTGCATTCCAAAAGTCAGAATCTGGTATTTCTTAGACAAAACAGAAATTTACTAGTAGCAGTACCTCCTCCCAACATGAAAATTAATTCTAAAGTTCTAAAATAAAACTTGGAAAATATTTTAATGATATAACAAAACTAAAGCAAATAAATAATCTAAAAGTATGACAAACATCTGTGTACTCCAATTACTATATGATGAATTTTAATTAATTTTTATTGCCATTTGCACATTTAAAATGCTATTTTCAAGCTCAAACAAAAAACAATATGGGATCACAATTCCAAAGGGCAGAGACTTGCTATAATAAAGTAAAAATATGAATTAGATTGGAAGACAATTTTTGATGGCTATTGAATGACTTGCATAATTGGAATTCATTTTAAAATGTGAAAATTAAAACAAAACTAGATTCATTCATAAGATCATTAATACATTTTTGACTCCCAAGTTTCATACTACATAAACATACCAAATGCTACATAGATATATCAAAGTTAATATATCAAATATACCAAAATAATAATAGCATTTATATCACGGAAATGCTACATAAATACACCAAATACACCAAAATAATGATCATATCATGGAATTGAAATTTGAAAATGCTTTTAAAATTCTACTAATTTTATGACAATAAATTATCTTATTACTTCCTTTTTCATCAACCTTCTTCTTTTCTTTCTCATTAAAGGTCTTCCATGTTAACCACAATTTCACTGCCTATATTAAACACATAAACATCTAAACACAGGAACCTCCAACTAAATGCATTGCTACCTTTCCATTATCTGGGACGCCCAATACCACAGTGGCTAAATCCACAGAAGCTAGACTCACACTCTTCTGTTAAAAATCCATTGTCAACCTTTCATTAATAAAGGAAAACGGTTTCTCTACTCACAACACTGACAACAAATGTGTGGGTTTTCCACACCAACAATTCTCTAATTCTCTGCAGGCACCCATTAGGCGTCATCCAATTTAATTCAATTCTGAAACTAACTATGCTGAGTTAGCCTTGACCCCACAGGTTGAGGGCTCAGTCCCACAAACTGCCCCCCACTTCAGATACCAATCACAAGTTCTGGGCCTCCCATACTTCTGACTGACCAGCTACAAATCAGGGATTTCCACCACGCCCTCTGCAGGTTAAATAATTAGCTAGAATGGCTCACAGAACTAAGGAAAATAGTTTACTCATTATTAGTAGTTTATCATACAGGATACAATTCAGGAACAGTCAGATAGAAGAGATGTATAGGGCAGGGACACGGAGCTTCCATGCCTCTCTGGTGAGCCACCCTCTCAGCACCTCAGTGGGAAGCTCATCGAACCTCATTGTTCAAGAGATTTATAGAGCCAATCTCTAGGCCCACCACCCTTCACTTCCCAGACGTCGGTGGTTGAGGCTGAAAATTCCAACCCTCTAATCACTTGGTCTTTCTGGTGACCCGCCCCCTCCTGGGACTATCTAAGGGCCGCACCCTAAGTCACCTCATTAATAGAAGCTCAGGTGTAATCAAAAGGGGATCATTACAAATGAAAAAAAACACTAGTCTCTCTCAAGAATTTCCAAGGGCTTTAGGAGCTCTGTGACAGAAACTGGGGACAAAGTCCAGATATATTTCTTATTATAGGTACTTAACATGGGCAAATTACTTCAATACTGCAAGTACTCTTTTACAGATGAGGGGATGACACCATAAATAAATATGAATAGATAAATAGAAATGATAATACCACCTAACTCATAGCATTATTCTGAGAATTAAAAGACATAATTCATCCAAGTAAATTAGGATATTATACGTGCTTAATAAGTGTCTGTCATTAGCATTGTGACAATTATTAAATTTATTACCCCTTCTGAGACTATTTACAAGTTCCATAAAAAAGATGAAAATAATATTAAGTTAAATCACTTTGAGAATCGTAATAAAAATCAGGACAAAAAGATGAGAATTATTAATGTCAATTACCTCCTTAGAAAACTTTTGGCTTCTGTACGTGCTTTTCATAATATATGCATAAAATCTGAGAATATCAGTTTCTTGTCCCGATGAAAGCACAACATCGACTCCCATTCCCCAGGAATGTATGATTAAGAAGTTAAAAAGACATGTTTGTAGATCATTCAGGCCTTCATCTGAAACTATCAGAAAATAAGGGTGATGCTCTTCCAAGAATAATTTCCAGTCTAGCGATAAGCATCCAGAAAACTCCGTTTGAACATCAACGTTAGTATTGTGTTGAAGATGGAGAATTAAAGCAGTTCTCAATGAAAGAAGTTCAGGGAAATCAAAATATGCACATTCAGCATCCTAGAATGAGAAAAAAGTACATTATATTGAAATCTTTGTTTACTGGTTTGTTAATTTTGTTGGTTAGAGCACAAAGGGACATAGGATCAGATCCAGCGGAACTCAATTGTTTTGCTCTTTATTATGTTCAAGGAAGAGGTCCTTAAACGTTGACTCTCATATCACAAGTGTGTGCCTTAGGTCAAAATTTGAATTAAGTAGATTTGTCTCCTCTCTCTAAGCAGGAATACACTACTAAGAGTACAGAGTACCTATTACTTTCACTTCTCACCTTCCAATTCTTTTACTCTCTGCATTTGAAAGGGTATCAAGGTAGAAAGTGGATAGTTATATTTTATCTAAATTGGGAAGCTGATGTAAATCATTGTTTTTTGATAAAATGTAATGTTCCAGGTAATGCATCTCCTCCTTAAACAACTTAAGTCTTTTCTCAGCAGATCAAAATTTCCATTTTTAAGTGTAGTCTAGATTGTCACTATTAAAGAAGGACCCTGACTTTTCTGTATGTATAGATCAGAACACTGCTCATACCTTCAGTAATGTTAAAAATAACCAACCCCCCACCAAAAAAAACAACAACAAAAAACTCTACATAAAGATTGAACAGATATATGCCAAAATTCTTAAGAGCAAAACATCAATTGCTTCCAGGGAGTAGGATGGGAGAACAGGGTAATTATATACATCTGTATTTGGATCAAGATTTGTTAAAATTGGAAGCCAATTAATTTTTAATTTTTAAAAATCATAGTATATTACACTGTTGGGGATATTTATCATAAAACAAACAAGAAAAATAGGATAGTGCCTCTGTTGAGTTTGCCATTCTATTGGAATATAAATGAAATTCCTGCTGAGTTTTGAAGCCTAAAGTACTTCATAGAATATAAGGGTGGGAATTCAGAGAGCATAAAGGCTGTTGATGAAATTTCTCCTCCTACCTGGGTGTCCTTAAAATAAGCATCCATAATTGCAGATAAAAATTAATTTTAGCTATCAACCACTTTGAATTAATGACATTTCTACTACATAATGCCCAAGAATTGCAGAATATATATTATTTTTAACAGCACATGATACATTCACCAAAATAGGCCAAATATTGAGCCAAAAAACAAGTCCCAATAGATTTTTAAGTAACCGAAATTATACAGAAATATTTTCTCTTATCACTGTGGCATTAAAATAGAAATTAAAAGCAACATCTAGAAAAAACCCCAAATATTTATAAATTAAAACAAAACTCTTGTAAATAATTGATTGGTCAAAGAAGAATCACAAGAGATGTTACAAGATATTTCTAATTAAATTGTAAAGAAAAAAAGCAATAGATGCAAATGTGTGGTATGTAGCTAAGAAAGTGCTTAGAATAAAATTTTTATCAAATTTTATCAAATTCATCTCAGGAAATAAAGCCAATCTTTTAAAGATTTCTCAGAAAATAGAGGGGGAGTACCAACTTAATATACATACTAAATTGGCATAATCCTTATAGCAGACCAATACAAAGGCATTATAATAAACAAAATTATAGATCAATATTCCTTATGAATATATATTTAAAACACACAAAATATTAGGAAATCAAATCCAGCAATGTATAAAAAGGTATATATCAGACTCCATCCCCAGTCCGGCCGAATGCACGCCAACCAGAGAGGCATCTCTCTGGAGAGGCCCAAGACCCACAGCAAACATGTACCTGAGGTGCCAGCATGCAACCGAGCAGATACTGAGGCAGCCATGCCAAATTGGCAGCCCCAGCAGGATCCTAGCCAGACAATAGTGTCGAACCAGTGGACCATGAAATCCCTTGCCACAATGACTAAACATCGAAGGAAAGATACCAGAAATATTAAAAATTGATAAAGTACACAAGGCTATCCTTCTGAAATGAAGGGCAAATAGTATATTTCTCAAACAAACTAAAACTGTGGGAGTTCACTACCAAACTACCACACTTCCAAGAAATTCTCAAGGGAGTACTGGGTTTGGTACTTGAAAAATAACTACCACTGCCATAAAAACTCAAGAAAAATCAAAACCCACTAGTAAAATAAAAGTGCCAACAATGAAGAGAAAAAAAAAGTTTATCTACAACCCAAGAAACCAACAAATACAGAAGACAAACAGTAAATCAGAAAGAAAGGAAGAAAAGACACCTAAGACATCCAAACAAAAATCAATAAAATGCTAGTAGTAAATCAACACTTTTCAATAACAACTCTTAATGTAAAAGGATTCAATTCCCCAATCAAAAGACACAGACTGACTGCCTGGATTAAAAAGGAGGACCCAACTATGTGCTGACTTAAGAGACCCACCTCACCTATAAAGACTCACATAGACTAAGAGTGAAAGGATGGAAAAAGATTTACCATTCAAACAGAAATGAAAACTGACCTGGAGTAGCTATTCTTATATCTGATAAAATAAACTTTAAACTAAAAACCACAAAAAGAGATAATGAGGTCCACTACATAATGATAAAAGGATTCATCCATGAAGACATAACAATCATAAATATGTATGCACCCAATGTTAGAGCAGCCAGATTTATAAAGCAAACTCTATTAGACCTAAAGAAGGAGATAGACACTAATACCATAATAGCAGGGGACCTGAACAGCCCACTATCAGTATTGGACAGATCATCTAGGCAAAGAATCAGCTGAGAAACAAAAGATCTAAACAAAACTTTAGACCAATAGGACTTGGCAGATATCTACAGA